TCTGTGTGTTAAGACAGCAGCGAATTTTTTCTGGTTAACATGATAGTTTTAACTTTGTTTTAGCTTCCCAATTTTGTTTAAGTAAAAATAGATCGATGTATACATGGACAAATTCAGGCAATTATCTGATTTTTTAAAGTTAAAATAGGTCGATGTACATGGACACCGAGTTTGTGCAAGTCTTCTTGTTTTGGTTTTGTGTAGCGGGTGGAAGGATCGGTGATCCTTCCTGGCACTGATGTTGGCGTCAAAAAAGAGACGATTCACCAAGGGGTACCATACAGTACATTTTAACCTAGATTTTTAATTTAATAGCAAGTATGTTATAATATAATAGAATAGTAAGTACAATACTAGCAAAATAAGGATATACAAAAAAAGAAATAAAAATGAAATGTTACAATAAAAAAAAAAATAAATCACACATTTAGCACTAAATAAAAGCAGCCTGATAGTGGTGGTAGTTGAACTATGTCAAAAAGATTTTAATTCAAGATATGCAACAGGATCTGGAACATAAAAGTATGTTTCTACGTCAATGATGGAAAAAATAAAATTGTTGGAAAAAATGGATAAAGACATATTCTAGGCAAAATTATACAAGGGATATGGCATTGGAAAGTCAACAGTACATAACATAAAAAGTACAAAGCGGAACTTTTTGAAGATTCTGATACCTCACAATCGATGGCAGAAAAATCCTTCATCACGCTAAAAGTGAAGAGCATGATGAAGTGATGACTAAGTGGGTGACATAGCATCAGAGTGAAGGAGTACCATTGCCAGGCCCAGTGCTAATATCTCAAGTCAAAATATTGTATAATAAAATGAACTTAACAGTTAGGTTTTTTGAATATGGCAAAGCATACAGGGGTTACATGCAATTAAGGGAAAAGATGCCATTGTGGAGGACTTTCCGATGAAAACTGGCTCATATTCTTGCAATACACAGTGAAAACTACAAAAAGCAAACATTCAGCCAACTTGTTCACAGGGTTTGAACAAACAGAATTTAACAGTTTTAACTATCAGATGCTAGCGAGGTTCACAAAGGATTTAAAAAATGAATGCTCTCCTTTTAACAAGCTGATTAACCAAGTTTAAGAAATTGCCACAGCAAGGGGCAGTCAAAATTAAAAATAATAATAATAATAATAATAAAAGCAACCAACCCTTGATAGACAATATTGAAGCAGTTCAAAAATGTGTAAATGAATTTATCAAACTCATTAACACCCATAAGTTATTGAAAAAAATTTACAATAATGACATAGCTTATCTTTTCTTGCATTATATTTCCTATATACCTATAAAACCTCTGCTAGCCCTCTATTGGTGCCAAAGATTCCAAAGTGAAACGAACGACTGTGACATGTACAAACACCGTAGGAACACAAAAATGTAAACTTTCAACAGTGAAAAAATTTCACAATCTCAGGTATTTAAATGAGGAAAGGGTTCTCCAATAATCTGTTGCTTAAATAAACCAGTATGAATGACATAAGTATTAATAAATGATTGGTTTGACAAACTATTTCAACCTGAGACTAAGCAAGATTTAAAACTGATTGGTTTACAGCAGTGGTTCACAAAGTGGTTCCTACAGATCCCCAGGGGTCCCCCGGTATCATTCAGGGGATCCGTCAAAAATTAAAACTGATTTGGAGGCCCCTGAACAATATCAGGGGGCCCATGCAAGGTTTAATAAAAAATAATAAAATTGTGATCCATTTTTATTATTACGAAAATTTAAATAAACAACAACACAGTAGCGATTTTTACATCCTGAGTAAAATATAAATATAGATGGGTGCTTAAAATATAGTATGTTACTTAAGTACTATGCGTTATGTAATACCTTTTGTCAATGAATACTGACAAAACGTATTTCCACTGATTTGTCACTTGTAGTAACAGTGGTGTGTATAACTTGTTTTAATGTTATTACTAAAACTTAGTTATTGTTCAATTTGCTTCAATAAATTTAAGCTTTCGATTTCCATCAACATGCTAACAACGAAATAATGATGAAATAATAAAAAAACTGATATAATTTTTCAAAAACAAAAACAAAAATAAAAATTACTGACACACGCCTATGATTTAATAGTTATATAGTGCCCCCTAATTACTTTAATAACAAGCATGGCACGGTGTGCGAGACAGACGGCCGAAAACAGGTTTATACAGGAAAGCAATAACACCGTTATATGCACTAACTTGTCTACAACATTAAACATAAAATATAAAAGGAGTCGTGCATCGTAGATCTAATCAACAATATGCTGATATTAAATGTATAAACAAATTTTAACAGTCTTAGACAAAAAGAAGTTTTGTAGTGTTAGTTGGAAATTTTGGTATAGTAGCACTTTTTTTATTGTTAAACAGATAGTGTACATTTGTTATGTAAGTATATTTGAATAAAATTTATCTCTTTTGAAAAAATTATATATCACTTTTTTCAATATAGTAATTCCTTGACATTTTTTAATTAAAAAGTTAGAAACAGATTGGAATTTTTTTAATACACATGTTTTATGAAAGAAGTTAATTATTGAGAATAATATTTTATTCAAAAATTACATGAAATTTTATCCTTATGACAAATAATTAATTCAAAAGGGCTTTACTGCAGCATTCCATTGAAAAAGTTAATAATACTTAACAGTGGTTTGTTGCAAATAAAACATTTGATGTACACATTTTTTTTAATCGTTTTTTTACTGTTTTTAAGAGATAACAGTATAAGATTAGTGAGCCGAGAAAAAGTGCCGACCATGCAGTGTAGAATATTTGAAGTATGGTTTTGTTTCAGCACCAGGAAATAGTACTTTACTTATGTAATAAAACTATGTGTCTTCTACACAATAAAACTGTCAAATGATTCAATAACCTTCTAGAGTTAAGGAACATTTAACAAAAATGCATAGTAACAAAAAAAGATAAGGATTTAACGTTTTCTCAAACAGTCAAAGAAAAATATTTGAAAACACTGTTACTGCAACAACTCAGAGGGACAACATCTAAGTGAGATGACGATGAACTGCACGCTTCTTATATTATTTCTTTATTGATTGCAAAGTTTGAAAAGCCGTATACTATCGGTGAAGAACTTATTTTACCAGCTCTATGAGAGGTGATACGCACCGTGTTCCACAAACCAGCTTTTGACATTATAAAAAGAATTCCACTGAGTAATAATACAGTACAAAGAAGGATTTACGAAATAGCTCAGTGCATAGAAAATTCTTTATGCGAGTACTTAAAAACATTTGAATTTTCTATACAGCTTGATGAGTCCACTTTACCAGGAAAAAACTTTACTTAGCTTTTGTAAAAGAAGAAAAATATTATCAGGAACGGTTATTTGCTAAATGTTTGGAAACCATTACGAAAGGTGAAACCTATTTTACTGAATTAAAAGATTTTTCGATGTAAAAGCTTACCTACGACTAATATCATTTTTGTTGCTAATAACAGTGCTCCGGCAATGGTAGGAAGACACCGAAGCTTTCTGGTATACTTAAAACAAGCTGTACCGAATGTATTTTCAGTACGTTGTGTCATTCATCGACATCATTCAGTCACAAAAAATCTTAGTGAATGTTTGCATGGATCACTAGATTACATCAGTTAATAAAATTAAAAGAAATGCCTTCAATGAGAGATTATTTGCTCAACATTGTTTGGAAAATAATGAAGACTATAATAGTTTACTACTTCACATAGAAGTACATTGGTTATCTAAAAGTGCATGTTTAAATTGATTTTATGCACTCTTTGATTCAGTGCTGGAATTCCTGGAAAGAACAGACAATGATTTGCGACACAATTTAATTAACTAAAAAAAGTGACATAGGTCATATGATTGATTTATTTGCCAAATTTAACAAAACTAATTTGAAATTACGACGTGACTAATTAAATTTATTCAAAACTAAAAGCATAATATCTGTGTTTGCTGCAAAACTTTTTCTGTACAAACAAAACTTGAGAAGAGGAGAATGTTCTCAGTTTCCAAGTCTTTCGAAATTGCAAAATAGAGATGAAGATTTGCTTGCTTGCTTTGTCAATACCTAACGGCTCTTCATGCAGACCTGAACCAAAGATTTGAAGATATTCTAGACTGAGTGTTGAACCCTTTTGTGGGTGAGCCAACTCAGATCCCAAACACAGATGAATCCATGCTAATACATTAGCAGCTTATTGAAATATCCACAAATGAGGAACTTAAACCAATGTTTGAACAAGGATGCCACAAATTCTGGTTACAAAAACAGATCTCAATTTTACATCCTGCATTATGGGTTATTGTACACAAGCTGTTGACTGCTTTTCTGTTTTCCTATTTGGTAAAATGTAGGTTCAGTACTGTTATCAACCTCATCACACAAAAAAAGAAACTGACTAGAAATTAGTGCTCATGGGGATTCAGCCAGACATAAATACACTCATAACATCTCAAGTTATGAGTTCATCCAAGTCATTAATTTTTATTTTATTTTAAACAAGAGTATAATTTCAATAAATACTTCTTTAACAAACTTTTTTTTTTAATTTGTAATTTTTATACTATGCATTTATGTAGCTTTTCACTTGAGGGTCCATCAAAAAAGTTTGGGAACCACTCATGTAAGCATATATATATATATATATATGTATGTACGAATGTATGTGTGTGTTTGTATATGTACACATAAATACATTTCTGAATCTGTTCATGATAATATAACAATACCAAGCATTCTTATATCTTTAACATTTTTCATAGACTAAAATTGATTACATTTTGCAATTACTAAAGATGCCATAAGGATTTGTCACATTTAACATCAATTCATGTTAATTTAGACATACAGTTATACTTTACATTTCTTAGAAATGTTTTAACCTCAAAATAAAGCTTATAACTGCAACTTTGGAAGTTTCTTTTAATTCTAAGAACTGTGTGTCTTTTAAGACTTTTTTAAGTGTAAAAAATAATGAAAAATACTTACCAAGTACATGGATCACCTTGAAAAAATTCAGCTAAAAATATATTAGCAAAATGAATCACTAAGGCTCCCATCCCTTGCTTAGATGTATCATAGAACCTAAAAAACAGAAAAGTAGTAGAAGTAATAAAAATAACAGCAAATACTTCAAAAAATAACATGGAAAGCTTAATGCAGTTATTTATTTGGACATTTCCTACATACCAAATCAGCCAAGGCCTCCTCTGTCTGCGAGGTTCACAAAATCTTTTTACTGCAAAATATTTTGAAAATATTTTCAAAAGTGATTATGATCGTATAACATATTGTCATAAAAGAAATCATACATTAAGTCTAATATAAACAAATCACATATCATTATAACTCACAATTATGAAAATATTAAAATAAACTTTAATTTGTTTTATTAATTTGAATATTGTCTACAAGATTTTATAATCTCCCAAACATTATAAAAATGAAATTAATATACTTTATCTTTTAATGTTCTAAAGGCTGGTAACTGATCACAACAATGCACCAGGCAGATTATTTTCATGAAGAACTTCCTAAAGGCAATTGCCTCATATTCACATTACACATGAGGAAAATAATGGAAATCATATGCAGCCCAAATCTCTGTGTTATGAACCAAACCTGGTGAGACTCTGAGTTTAGCCCTCTCATAGATTCAGCTAGAGGTGGGTTACTAAAATAGGCAAAGCTGCTGAGATGATGACAAAATAAATTGGAGTTATTTGCCTAGAAGGACTTAAGTATTGTAACTAGTACATATTTTTTTCATCTGTACTGCTAGGAAACAAACCATTAATATTTCAAATAGAGTTGAATGTAGTGGGCCCGTATAACGCAGTAGTTAGGCTTACTGCAAAGTCCACATGTGAAAAAATATGCCTACAGCTTAAAACTAATGTATGTATAGATGTTTACATGTACATAAAACATGTATAGATTCTCGAATAATTAATTGACTTCTACCACTTCCCTAGGAGAAGGGGGAGAAAAAGCCAAACTAATGATATATTTTTACTGCATGAGAATCATCATAGAACAAGCAACTTCTTTTTTGCTATTCTAAATGAACACTTTTAAGTTAAGTATGGATTGGCTTTGGTTTATATGACAGTACACAAAAAGGAAAGCCAGTATGACTGGAAACCTTGCTCTTAACTCCTTAGTAAAAGCTTCACACTGAAAAGAGAAAATTCTGATTTTATGTTCTCAGTCCAATTTTAAAACTATATGGTTAGTTTCCTTGAGCATACATAAATTTACCTTTGATATCATTAAAGAACTGTCGGAAGAAGCATTTTCTAGTCTCCAATATGAACTTCAAATTACCACAGGGCAAAGCCTCGAACATTTCTTCTGGAACAAACAACTGAGAATAATCAGTAATAACCTTATGTTACTTTATTGTAAATTACTACAAAAATTTTAAGGTTATGTAGATCAAGTCAATTAAATAGGAAATTGCGATACACTGTCAAAAATACCTTCCACAATTTTAATTTATGCGAGTGTTCAGCAACTGTACAAGCCATTTTGATCTTTTCTTTCAAGATGATATTTATTTTTCTTTCCTTGTTAATTAATGCACCCTTTTTTAATATTTTGGTTGGGTTAACGGAGAGTTGGGGATGGCAGTTTTTTAATTTCAAAATCAACTTCAATCTTGATACTGACATTATTTACACATACACAATGTGGTCAAAAGTATCTGGACACCCCACTAAAGAAGTGGATCTGGTAGATGACGCAATTAGATGTGTAACCAAAAACTATAAATGTGTTTGATATTAGTTTGTCAGGTCATAGCTGAAGATAGAGTCTTGCTAAATCATGGACTTTTGTAACTTAATTGCCTACAACGAAAATTACAAACCAATAAGGAAGCAGTTTCGTGCTAGCCCTCGAACTTACCGTGAATCTTGGGTTTCTATTATAATAATTCAGCCATCCTACTACATAGATCAAAGCTTTTAGAAAATTTTGATAGGTCGCACATCACATTATATTACAAATTTTACCTTAAACAAGAGACTTTTTTTGGTACTCATGATGATGTCAATCACCTGTGTGGTGACTGGATGTGAAAGAATAGTCCCAATGTAGCTCATGCATGTCATAAGAGGTGACTAAAATGGGTATCCAGTGTCCGGAGGTACAGCCAGGCACCCTGCCCCTGGGGATTATAACAGGGTACTGGTCCTCCAGGTTGGGGGCTCGGGCATGGGGCTAATTACTCTACCCTCTAAAACACTTCTGGTTCAGAAATCTCAAGGGCTAAATCATGAACAGATAATACCCAGATGACATGGAATGATAACAGACTTGCATATTGGCACTTAGAATGGTATACTCTATAAGTAAGTTCTTGGCTGCTCCGCCTCATGAACTGAATCACATTATGGGTCTACTTCCCCTTTCGGCACTTTGTGGAGGTTCAACCTCCACTATTGCCCTTCCAAGGGAGCAGCGCCCCACCTGGATATGACACCAGGCAGCACTGGTCGTCAATTACTCCCGCCAGTCGCATGGACGAGCCCGTCGCAGTGGGCCGTTACCCAGGAAACCGGGAGGAAAACCCCCTGGCTATGGATCCGTGCCGCTCAGGACATGCCAGACCCCGAGGCCGGCCAAATAAGTGACCTTTCCCAGGGCCTTCAGAACCACCAAGTTCATAAATTTTATACCTCCGTGGCTGAGACTGCCTAGGTACAAATCCTAGCTAGTAGCTTTGCAGAGTTCTCTACATCGATTCCGAGGGGATACACTCTATAAGGGTGGAGCACTTAAAGAATTTGGTTGATAATGTTTGGGAATTATAAATTAGACATTATGGCTATTTAAAAGATTAGATAACTTGGCCAAGCAGTTTTGGATAAAAGAAGATGCAGCGTTTTACACACTTGTCAGGATAGAACGGATAAGCAGAACTGCTTTGGAGTAGGATTTGCAGTAACTAGGAAAATTAGAGACAGAGTCATAGACTTCAAACCTATGAATGAAAGGATTCGTAAAGTGCAAATTCGAGTTTGCCCTCAAAATATTAGTATTATCAGTGTACATGCACCTACTGAGGACAAATGCAAAACTATTAAAGATGATTTTTACGATAAACTTGACTCCTATGACAAATATCTCTCAAATGATATAAAACTGATTATTGGCAACTTTAATGCAAAAAGTGCCATGAGATTAGTTGTGGATAATCAAAGTTTACACAAGGAAAGTAGTGATAACGGCATAAGACTTAATGATTTGGCAAATGCAACTGAACTTATTACAGGAGGTACCTTCTTTGAACATAGAAATATACATAGTCACATGGTGCTTCTCAGATGGAAAAACACTAAACCAGATTGATCATTTCCTGGTGGATCTGAAGACACCAAAAGTGCCTTTTGGATGGCTGCAGTTATCGTGGAGTCAATGTTGACTCCAATCACCTTCTGATTTCCAGGCTGAGAGAAAGGATAAGCAAGGCCTTTTGGAATAGACAAAGGGATGGAGTCTTGGATGTTGACTCATTGTGCAAACCTGTAACAATGAAAGATTGTAGAAATAAATTAAAAGAAAGGCTACTGAAATGTGATGATTTACAGAACAGTGATTTCTTCCAGAAACAGATTGAAAAAAATAATTAAGATACTGCAAGGGTAGTTATAACAGAACTGAAAAGGAATAGATGATATGGATGGTATGATTGCAATTGTGCAAAATTTTTTAAACTTATGACTAAAAAAAACTATACTAGAGGAACAGAGAAAAATTATAAAGAGTTGACAAGAAAAAAAAAAAAAAAAAAAAAAAAAAAAAAAAGACTGCTTCATATGAAAAACAAAGCAGATATGGAGGAACAGTGTAGTGAGATAAAAAAATTAAAGCAGAAAAAGAGTTGAGAAAATTTTATTAGAAAATCAGTGCTTTATCTGGCTTTGCCTTTCTTGGGACTATTACTTGTAGAAAAGAAGATGGTGAGCTTACAAGTGATAATTTTGAAGTGCTAAAAAGATGGGAAAAGTTCTTTAGAGATCTTCTCTGTGGAAGTGATTTTCTGAAGCAGGAGGCTGATCTAACTAGCGATCTGAATGTTAATTCCGAAGTCAAACAACAAAAATCAGCGTTATATTTTCAAAATTTTCACAGGACTAGTTTCGATAGTTTTTACCGAACCACCATCCATCGTTCTTACCGAAAAACCATCGAAGCTAGTCCTGTGAAAATTTTGAAAATATAACACTGATTTTTGTTGTTTGACTTCGGAATTAGTATTTATTTGGCGTGTTATTGTGTCTTAATTATTAGATCTGAATGTTGTTGAAAGTGAATGAACTCTGTAGCCTGATGCACCATTTATATATGAAGTGAGAAAGGCTATTGATAATCTAAATACCAAAGGGCTGCAGGCCCAGATGGTATTAAGGCAGAACTTATTAATATTGGCCTACCTGAACTGATGATGCCATTCATAAGATCAAACTTAATGTTTGGACTGAGGAGCAGATGAACATTTAATCGGAAGAGGGTTTCATCTGTCCCATTTTTAAAAAAGGAGACAGGCTCGAATATTGCAACTATCGAGGTATCACCCTCTTAAATGTGGCACTTAACATCTTCTCCCATATTTTATATAATAGATCATTACCATATGCATCTACAGTTAGTGGTAGCTACCAATGTGGATTTCAAGCTGGAAAATCAAATATTCATCAAATTCATTCTGTTAGACAAATTTTAGAAAGAAAAAAAAAAAAATATTGAACATAACATTGATACCTTTCATCTTTTTATAGATTTTAAAGCTGCTTATGATAGCATATACCCTGAAAAGCTGTTTGACGCTATGCTGGAATTTGGATTGCCTAGAAAATTGATTGAATTATCTAGAATGACTTTAAGGGGAGTAAACTGCAGAATTAAAATCATCTATCGGAGGCATTCTACACTGAAAGAGATATGACAAAGGGTGATGTTTTTAATAATGTTTTTTAATATTGCCCTTGAAAAGGTTATTAGAGATGACGGAATTATAACCAGAGACAGAGATCTGTACAATTATTAGCGTATGCTGATGATGATGTCGACATTATCAGCAGAAGCAAACAGGCAGTCGTGGAGACTTTATTTCCTCACAGTCTGCAGCCAGAGATATTAGACTTACCATTAATGAGTGTAAAAGTTTATGGCAGTAACTAGTTTACATAATCCCCTTACACTGCAAATAGTCTTATACCGTCGAGGGCGTTT